CCAGGCCTTCCCCACACTATTGTCTGTGTCCATGGGTTACGAATATATGCATATAAGCTCTTTGATTCATCTCTCCCCATCCACTCTCCCACCCCCGCCTTCCCACTGAGATTCATCAATCTGTTCCATGCTCCTATGTCTCTGGATTTATTTTGTTCCTCAATCTATTCTTAGATTCCACATATGAGTGAGATCATGTAAAACTGAATCAGGGAGAATCAGGAAACCTGTTTTAACAACAACTAATGAAACTGAAGCAATAATAAAAAAAACTCCCAGCAAACAAAAGCCCTGGTCCGGATGGCTTCACAGGGGAGCTTTCTAATTCCTTAAGTCGCAGGATTAGATAGTTTACTAAAAATTTTTCTTGCTTTTTGAGGTAGGCCTGCAGTGCTGTGAACTTCCCTCTTAGGACTGCTTTCTCTGTGTCCCATAGATTTTGGGTTGTTGTGTGTTCATTTTCATTTATTTCAAGGAAGTTTTTTCTTTCTTTCTTGATCTTATTGGTAACCCATTCATTGTTTAATAACATGCTATTTGGCCTCCGTGTATTTGAATTATAGTTTTAATTGTTTTTTCAAAGCTACTACACTGATCAAGAAATATACTTTAAGTAAACATGCATTCACACAAATATGAGTTTTTCAGAGTTTGTTACCTTTTTTTGTTTTGTAGGAAGTACTCCATATTGGATTGTGCGGAACTCATGGGGAAGTTCTTGGGGAGTAGATGGCTATGCCCATGTGAAAATGGGAGGTAATATTTGCGGTGAGTCATGAATTTGTGTTTAAAACCCCAGGCTAAGTGTCAGGAAGATATATTAAAATTACAAACCTGTCCAGTCCATAGTATGCTTCCATGTACTCAAGTCACTTTTATAGTAATAATTTTCATTCTTTAACCAATTGATAAAAATAAAACAGTGTTTTAAAGAAGAGACACTATCACACATATTTGTGCTTTAAAAAGGAAGAAAGACTGTAGTGAAAACAAATATAATAAGCAAAACATTATAAAATAAAGTAATAACTTACTAAAGTTAACCACTTCAAAATTCAGATAAATATTCAATTTAGGAGGCTGAAATCCTCCAAAAACATCCCCTAGTTCCAAATTTACTTTTTAAAACTGAATGAGTTTTTCTTAACTTGTGTATTAATAATAAAGCATGGATGGAACTGGAGAGTATTATGCTAAGTGAAATAAGCCAGTCAGAGAAAGACAAGTATCACATGATCTCACTTATATGTGGAATTTATTTTGTTCATCACAAAATAAACTGATGAACAGAATAGATCCAGAGACACAGCATGGAACAGTCAAATCTCAGTGGGAGGGCAGGTTGGGGAAGTGGGTGGAGAGAGATTAATGAAAGAACTTATATGCATAAATGCATGACCCTTGGACATGGACAATAGTGTGGTGAAGGCCTGTGGGGTGGAGGGATCAGTGGGGGGGAAAAAGTGGGGATACCTGTAATACTTTCAACAATAGAGATAAATTAAAAAATAATAATATTACTTGCTCAAGGATAATCAAGAATCACTTTTTCTTTGGATCAAAATATATGAAAATGTATGAATTATTTTTGATTTAATAGACCCCTTTTCACCTGCAAAATTCTAGTACAACACCCACAAATGGAGCTTAAGCAAATACCAAATGTGCTCTTTTATAGAATAACAATTGTTTTTGTTAATTAACCACAAACCAAATTAAAATAGCTAGGTAAATACTTTAAACTGTATCCTAAAACTTATATCCAAACCTATATTCTACAATTTTGATCTGGGAAATCAGCATATTTTCTGAATCAAATTAGAATGAAACTATATTGCATATGAGAGCAATCATTTAATTACTCATTAAACTTATCTCTAACATACATATAACTTTTTTTAAAAATGTAGAACACTATAGATTGTTTGAGAGTTTATGTTTTGATTCAGTCAGTGAGTACTGCCCAATGGTTCCAAAAAGTAGAATTCACGAGAATTAATAAATGGCCTTCTTTATCACCCCAGTAAAATATTTTTCATCAATTATTTATTGAAGAGAATGAGTATCATAAAATCTTAAACCAGAGCATTGCCAACCCAATCATGCCCCCACTTTGTAACATCATTTGGGGTTTTACATTGTTAGAACATCCAGATAAATTACTTCTGCCATTCATTGAACCTTTGCTACTAAACATAAATTATTTCTAACTGTGATGCCTGTGTCTGGGCTGAAGAGTGGCAGTTTTCAAAGCTCTGGTAGGACAGTTACAAGAACATAATTTAGACATTGGTTCATAGTTGCCTCAATTATCACTTTAATCCCCACCACCGTGTTTTCCCTGGCCCCCAGCTCTCCTGAGGATGAGTTGGAATAATTTCTTCTCTCTACCAGTTTCCCTTTTTGATTCTCCAAGGGTGTAGCTAGTTAGTAATTACACAAGAATCCAAATCCTTCCTGAAAGTATTTGATGATCACATTACTCTTAGGAATCATGGTATAAGACAGATAGCGTCCCATGGCCCCAAGAGATTTCAAAAACATAGCTAATTACAATGAAATCCAGTCTTTAATGGGCTGTTTATTGCTTTCACCATGATATTGAGATCTATGTTCTTGTGTGCTCAGAAAACATAGCACACATGATTTATTGAATTTTTGCTAATTAAAGTTCAAATCTTAGAGTTTGAATTTCAAATTTTATTTAAAATAGTTCTATAAATTATTTTATCACCTCTAAGTTATATACATGCAATAAAGATTTCAGATACATTCACCTGTTCAGTTAGTCATTTTATTTGAAACAAAAATATTAGTCATTTCTTCTAATACCTGCTTTTTAGGTTGCCATGTTTATACTGACAACCTATAACTGTAAAATTATTTTCTTAGTAGATGCTAACTTCTTTTGAACCCAAATGAACATCATTTTAATTTGCTATTTACAGGGAATATAAATAGGAAATAGACTCATACTAATAATTTCTTTTTTTCTTAGGTATTGCAGATTTTGTTTCTGCCGTATTTGTATGATTAATTGATAGGATCAAGAGACGACTACAAAAATGAAGATTCATAAAGAAATGGAGCACGGTACTTCACTCTCAGCATTATTCGCCTTCAGGTTTTAGTAACTACCCACAGAAGGTTCTAGGACCTAGTAGCATCTAAACTAAGTTGTGGCATGTTCCCTTCTTCTAAAGAGATGGGCAACCATAGTCAGTATGAAGAACACCAGCACCATGGCCTGGGAAACAGTGTCCTACTCTGCAATGAATGTCAGATTAAGATGCTTTAGGTCTCTTCACTTTGAAGAGGCTATTATCTGGTTTTGTTTGATGTTGTTTTTTTATATGTTTACCCTTAATGTCATTAAAGAGGTGATAAGAATTTCTTTTCCTTGTGGGATATAATCACTGCCTTAGCTTACCCTTATATACAAGAATAGCTAACCTAACATTTGTGTGCCTCTCATAATTATACTCTCAGCCCTCTGAGATGGAATTTTATAAGAATTTTTAAATACAGTAGCTTTACCTCAACAAATAGTACTTACCCCTTGAACTGCAGAGAGATTATGGAGTAAGAAACAAAGAGACAAGATAGTTTTTTAGGAGATTGAAATTAAATGACAATAAATTATTTGGCAAGTATGTGATGAGAAAACCTCAAGCAACGTTGCCTGAGAGACAAATTATTATTTGGAAATTTTCATTGTCAGTAGGATTCACTTCCTTACTTTATCTCTCTAGATGAAAGGAACATGTTTCCTCCACACTTTCCCACCCTCTTTCTCTTACTCTTTATTGTGACATTCTTAAGTTTTCCTGGTGGTTTGACTTCCCTGGATAAGAAGTCTCATTGTTTATTTTTCATTTCTATTCTACAACTATTTATTTTTGCTCCATCTAAGCCACCAACATCAGGCTCTCACCTTTCTCTCTCATCATTTGTAGGCCAACACCCCTATCAGAGTCTAATGTCATTAATCTAGGGTATCAGCCAGCGTGTGAGTTTCTCAGGCTCTCTGTTTCCCCAGTTTTCTGCTTATGTTTCCGGGACTCCTGTTCTAACTACTTTTTTGTGCATCTCCTTGGCTTTGGCCTGGTTTCTGGTTCCTCATGTCCATGTTCTCTCTCTTGTCTAAGTCATTTTGTGTGGCTGTGTGAGAACCTCAGAGCATAAGAGCTTTTGATTTTATAATTGTATTAACTGAGCTATATAAGAAAATCTAATCAAATACTGCATATGTAAATATTTCTTCTCTAAAATTCATAGTCGCTTTCTAATGTAAAATATTTTAACAGAAAGTTTTTTTAAATGTAACAGCAACCACTAAAAAAATTGAGGACATCCTATTTTTTCTTTTTTCCCTTTTGACCTTTGTTTTTCCATCCCCTTTATTAGAAAAAGAAAATAAAAAACAAAACACTGTATTTATTTTTCTTACACCAACCAGAACCAATATCAAAGGATTATGAGTTGACTCAGGTTTAGAAGTGTTCTAAGAAGACAAACATTGATAGTTTAATTGATTAATATTCTAGTTATCTAAGTATGCCCAAATGGAACTGTTTGTGTTCATTTACTGACGTCTATGTAATATAAATGTTTTTCTGATATTCTTTTTCAAATGCTAAAATAAATTTTAAATTACAAAATGATTAATACCTCTCAGCTTCTCAGAATTTTGATGACATTTATAATGAAACAACCTATATTTGACTTTGGGTTAAGAGGACTGTGTCCAGAAGTGGATGGCTTACATTTTGTGAACACAGTGTTAATGTGCTCACAGTGTTTACATTCACACAAGAGTTTACTCATTTCCATATCCATATACTTATTTTTTGGTTTTCTCCATAAACACCGTAATCTCAATATCTCCAAAAAACAAACAAACAAACAAAAAACAAAAAAAACTCCTGCACCTCCTAGAGTCTCTATTTTGGTTAACCGCATCAACCCAAAGAGTAAAATTGAGGGAAATCTTCTGAGATTTTAATTAGGTCAGTTTTATCTTAGTAACCGATCACCTAGTCACCTGCCTCCTCTCTATTTCTGCTGTTCCTTTCCAGATGCATGTTCTTTAGTATCTTATCTCCACTATTTTATAGTCTACCCAATAAACCTGTGTTCCAGAATCCAGTGGTTCTCAAAGTATAGTTTCCGGACTAGAAAACACCCGAGGATTTGTGAAACACTGATTTAATAAGCCCTCCAGGTGATTCTGATGGTTCTCATTATAATCCATGTACTGTGTGTCCCCTGGATTTACATTTTTTAAAGACAATGTTACCATGTTATTCCCCTGTTTTAAACCGAGGACTTCCCGATGCCTAAAAAATAACACACTAACTCTTTTAAATAAGCTCTCACGCCGAAGCCCTGTTCTATCTTCTAGCTTAGTCTGTGCTGTTCCACATAGGCATAAGCTCGCCCCACAAACTACTTGAAGTTCACCCGATGAGGCTAAACCAAAAGCAGTGAAATCTTCACATAACAATTAGGCTTCCTAATGAAAACCATCAAGATGTTCTTGGGTGTGATATCTCAAAGATCTCAAAGTGGGCCTACATCAGGGAAGAGCAGAGCCAACACCCACAGAGAAGAGATGAGACACAGCAGATCCTGAAAGTGTTCCAGGAATAAAGTACTCTAGGAACTGGACCCATCCCTGTGGCCTTAGAGCTCCCCAGGCTCCTCTCAGTGTTTTAAGCTATTGGAGTAATTGTCCGATAAAACCCCTTTGGGCAAGCGTCACATAGATTTCTGTCATTGATCACCAAGAGTCCTAGCAAATTCAAGCAATGTTTTCAAAACAACATATTACAGAAAGAATAATTTTTATTACTTAAAATCATTTTGATTTAATGTTCGTGAAGAATGTATTGCATTGAATATTTTAAATAGCTGAAGTTTACAAGCTTATAAATATGGAACAATGAGATCATGATTAGGTTAAATGGTTACATTAAAGTAAGTAATCAGGGGACATTAAATTTTTAATAGGAAAATACGCTATGTACAATGTTACAATGTAACTGAATTAATTTCCTAATGTCTTCTTTCATAACAAAAATTCTTAGTCTTATCACAATAAATGAAGTAAAATTACTTCCAGGATTGAATCGGAGCACCACAGTGCCTGTATATACATATATTAACTTAGAAGTCTGTGTATTCATGAAAATTCATAGGAAAAAGTCCACAGAAATCAATGTTCTTCATAGAATTTGCAGGTAATTTTAATCTGATTCTTCACTGCTGAAGTAAGAGCTGTCACAATATTCAGACGTGTAAAGGAATTTGCGAGTAATTGGGTTCATCTTCGGTATCCAGGGTCGGGGTATCAGATATGTTGAAAGATTAAATAAATCTACAAATACCTTGTATCTGTCACTGAAAAACAAAGACAGAGGTTTTAGATTTGTTGAAATGAAATATTTAAAATTTTCCATCAAAAATTTTTGTTTCTCAGATAATATTTTGCAAAGTACCTGCCGAGTAACTGATATAGATAGATTAAAAAAAGTAAAAATGTCATGTTAGATTCATAATAAATGTCCAACAGAGTACTCTTAACACTAAAACTTGCTTTTGTGTCTGTTAATTATTTTAAGTGTTGCAGTTTTATACTGGAAGAGCAACTGCCTTTGAAGTCAAATTTGCGTTCAAATCCTGCCTTGTCACTTGCAGCTCCTACCACCTTGGACAAGTTGTCTACACCTCAGTGTCTTGGTTTCTACCTCTGTAAAATAAAAACTACAATCCGTTCCTCCGTAATTTCCTCAGTTTTCAGACACATCTATGTATCCTATCAATTATGCTGTGAATAGTAAATAAGAATACAAATGTCCTAGAAATATCTCTACCATGTTTTAAGTGCTCGATAAATGTTGACCTTTTTTTTGGTAAAAATATGAAAAGGGCAATCCCTGGAGTAGATAGAAGTAGTTTTCATGCCATAAAATAGAGTCCTATCAGGAAATAAGAAAGTATATTTTTAGCTGTATCATTCATCTCACCAACATTACCTATTGGACTTAATGATAACCATTTGAATCTAGTCCAAACTTGAGCCAGAATGAGTTGAAAATTTTTACCTGTAATAACTCCTTTATGTCCTTGCAGGTCATACAGGCATTGGTGCCATGCCCCTTTTCATCACAAGATGAAAATAATGACTGTCCAGAGCTAAGAATTTTTATAATGACCTCCAAAGGTTCTAATAGGAATGCCTTCATCTAACTACAAATATGTTGTCAGCAGGCAGGAACAAGTATAAATGACTTTTGCTAGATAATGCCACATATACAAAGAAACAAAAATTGGTGACTTCCACCAAGATAAAAAGGTGAATTTTCCCCATCTCACCTTACTGTTGAACGCAGGTACTGGTAGCCTGAGGACCCACCGGTGCCGGTTTTGCTGCCCAGCATTCTGTGCACCAGGCACACGTGGTTATCTAGGCAAACACACAAATGAACACCATGGATATTTTTCTGCTCTTAGTTCCACAATGTTCTAAAAACAAGGGGTCGGTAATGATTATTGCTTCTGAGAAAAAGGCTCACGCCTTATCACTTGGCCATATGGAAGGTTCACCTGTGAGAGCCAGGTGAGGCCAGCAGGTTGCCCGGCACCCCACTTGGTTCAGCACCCCATTTGACTCCACCCATATTTACATTTAGCCTATGAACAAAATAGGGGAGAGCAGGGCCATAGTAGGACTTTAATGAGCTCTGGTCACTTTGCTTTTCTGGGTTTCTTCCTCCATTAAAAAGTATATTAAAGTTATATTTTTATATGGTTTTGTCATAAAGATGAATAAATTACTATTATATATTAAGGCATTTCCTTGGACGTAAAGTTTATTTTTTCCTTCTGATTATCAAATAAAATGTCTTCATGGGCCCCCCAAATTACTGTAGGCTCTAGGCACTGTGCCATTTGTGTATATGGATAAGGTAGACCCTAGGGGACAATAACTGTCAAGCTGATTTTTTTAAAAGCCAACTCAAACAAAAGATGGAAGAAAAGAGAGAGCAAGCAGGAAGGCAGACAGGAGAAAAGGGCTAAAGGAACAGGAGGAGGAGGAGAATGAAGGGGGGGCTGAGGAGAGGACTTACATCTCCATTTGGTCATGAGTGAGTCTATGTCCATAAGAGAGGTCAGTAACTGGAAAGGGACCTGGAATCTAGGTTCTTCCCTAAAGGAGAAATAAGAGGATGGGATCTATTCAAGCAAATCCAGTGCGTTAGGAAGAGCATGACTTTTGTAATCTGTTGGCCCTGGAAACAGATATCAACTCTCCTATTAGGAGCTGTGGCATCATCTCTAAATTACCCAATCAATCTTAGTTTCTTCATCTCAAAAATGGGGATACTATGCCTCACCTTACAGCATTTGTTTGCAGAGTCTAGAATATTCCATGTAATATATATAAAGTAGCCAGCCAGAGTCACACTTAACATTGAATCTCATTAAAAGGCAGGCATACACTATCTCATATTTCCCAGCTAATACAGTAAAAAACTTTTTCCAAACAAAGATATTAAAACATGAAAACAAAAGTTTTTTTATTTTTATATATATGTATATTTTCATTATATTCCCTTTCTTCAGCTAATCCTTCAGTTCTCTCAGTCCATTTTCTGCTTAAGACACATAAGCTTGAGTGGCATACATTTAGTAAGAGTTTAGGGAACGAGTCAAAATATTTTGTTTAGGTTGTCATTCTGAAGAAAGATTTGAGAGGATTACAATTTAAATAAATACAAGTCAATAAGACATCCAGTAAACATAGGTATTTTTGCTAGTATGTTATCTATTGTTCTGAATCATTCAATTCATGAAACATGAAGATGAAACTTCATACATATGAAGGAGTACGTGGGCATTTAAGGACACTTCAAATGCATTAAACAGTGAAGATTATTTTACTTGAAATTGTTGAATAAGTAGAACAACCACTTATAAGGTGTTTTCATTTTATCCATTCTTTTGATCCTTCATAAAACAGGAATAACTCTACCACGTTGTTTAGTGTCTCAACATGTTTCGTGACTGAATTTCTGAGGCAGATTGCACAGTGGTCTTTTTGGACACTTAAAATCACATAATGGTAGAATTTAATAAAAAGGATATTTGATTAATTTGTGTGGGTGGTTTTAAAAAACAAAACAAAACAAAAAACAACTACAGAGATAAAGTTAAACTCTTACTATTTAAAAGAAAGAAAATCTCCTGAAACCTCACAATCATTTTCTAAGTTTTCCTCCCAAACTTATTGGAACTATGATTGAAACGTATAAGCTTATGTTTGATATATTATCTATATCCAATCATCAATTTTAACTCCTGCTTCTTCCCTTCTACTTTGCTTTTACCTGTAAAAATAGATCATCAAGGCCCCCTGAAGTGCTCTGTATGAGAGTCGTCTTTCACCTGCAAAATACACAGACTTTTTAATTTAATAGGTCATTTAGGGTAGTCATGTTAATGTGGCACCATCACCTTAAAAAATTGTTATATGTTTTTAGAAAACAATGTGTTAGTTTAAAATTTTTGTCCCTTAGCTTGAAATGGGAAAACTATCATATAAATTGTTTTTTAATATTGGATTTTAAAAGACAAACTGAAATCATGTATATATATTCTAAATTCTCAAAATCTTTAAATATGCTAGGAAAACCTGATATGGAAAATACTCAAATTTCATGATATTTTTCAAGTAAAATAGTATGGTGGCTTTTTAAAAAGATAAACAAGACTCATTCTAAGTTTCATTTGAAAGTAATATTTGCTAATTCATTTAAAATTACTTAATATCACCTGACTTCAAGGAGCACAGTCATTATTTAAATTTCATATGCGCTGCTCTATCTGCAGGAAAACAAGACTTTGCTCTTCTTTACTGAGGTTTTATAGAAAACTGAAGCTAACAACCTTTAAAAGCTTATGTAATTTCATATTGATTTCATATATTGCTATGCCCTATACTTGTATTTTTAAAATTAATTTTTACTTCTGTCTATTTCCAAAAGATTTATAATAGAAGTTCCAAATTAAAAAAAAACAAACATAAATTTCAAACAGATTGAAGAAAATAGTTAAATAATAAAAGTATTGATTACACTGGTCAATTAGGTTCCAAAATTTTTTTAATAGCTCAATATTAATTATGCCAGAAGTCTAAATGTGTGTTTTTCCTGGTCAGCTTGGGAAACTTCTTCGGCCAAGCCACCTTTGCCCTTGCAATGGAGTTTTTCCTTCCCTCTCCTACTTAAGAAGCCGTTTTCAATGTACGTACCTTGGTATCCTTCATTACCTGACATATTATGAAAGTTTCTACCAATGTCTTTGAGACAACCTGGGCATTTAAACCTCTTAATATAATCTTATCATAGATAACATTAACCGATCCTTTTTTCTGAGTGGAGTATCAATTTTCGTTTTATTTCCCCCAAGTGGGGTTTGATCTTTTGATGTCACAGTGGTACAGAGCCGAGAAACAATCCTTAAGAATAAAATTACCTACCTGTACTAAGGAGATGTTCATGACGCTTCTCATCAAATAACAAGAGTAACACCTCTTTTTGTTTCTTATGTTCAGCCATTTGTTCCTCTTTTTCCTCTGACTCTTTTTTAGCCTTTGGAGAAAATACTTCATTAATATTCCCAACAGAGAGAATAGATTCTTATTTTAGAAAATATTGCTGTGAGAAGTAGACTCACCGGGTGTAGAAAGGGTGTGCTTGGAAATATTTACCATTTCCTCTAATATTACAATTTGGAAATTATGGCTTATGAGAAGGGATCTTCCTCACAGTCACTGGTTCTGTCCTTTTAGTTCACTTTAAGTGATTTGTTAACACATTCTCTCCATAAATATCATGAGACATGGGGTCAGGTGGGCATAACTGGATACAAGCGGTCAATATGATCGAATTTTTGACAGAAATTATTTGACACAGTAAAGTAATTCCAGTTAGGAAAAGTTAAGAATTTCTAGTCAGGAAAACTTTTAATACTACTGAAATTCTATATTCAGTATTATATTCTATAAATATAATTTCTAAGATATATTTCACCCTTATATGTTTATTTATTTCATACCTACTGATTTTTTAAGAAAATTCTTCTTTTTCTGCCTACAGCACATGCTCTGCTTACAACTCAATTAATTAAACTGGAGCAAAAATTAACCCAATTATATTCAAATCCTCAGAAGAACCAATCCGTTTGTTAAAAACTTGTATGCATACTATTGCCGATTAAGTATCCATTTTTATAGCAAATGCCATGCTCAGGTGATAGATAAAATCGTAAGCAAAAATTAAGTCCTCTGATCTGATGCAATATATTATCTGGTAGAAATAAGACATAGAACAAATAATCACCTGAGGATTAAATTGAGACCATGAACACTCAGGAGTGTCCCATATCATACAGCGGTGTATGGGAGCAATATAGTGCCAGGGTAATTTAGAGAAGTAAGGAGATCAGGAAATGCCTTCCTGAAGAAGTTTTCCTTGAGCCAAGACCTGAAGAATGCAATAGAGTCACCTGGGGAAGAATATTCCAGACCCAGAGAGTAACATAAAAAGACTGGTGGTAAATTCAAAAAACTGAATTCAGCTTAAAGGAAATTCCTTTCGGTTGGCTCAAGGGAGATCAGGAAAGGCCTCGAAGGTTATGTTAAGGATTTTTACTGTTATGCTGAAAGCAATGGGAAGACATCAAAGAGTTTTGTGCAATCACTAAATGTGACTAGATTTGCATTTTGAAAAGATTGCTCAAACTGCAGGGTGCAGAATACATTGGAATGGAGCCTTCCTGGAGAGCCTGGCAAAGAAGCCGAGAGAATAGGGCTTTAGTCCAAGTGAGAAGCAAGGCGTCTGCACGTGACGGGGCCCTGGGCGCTTATGGTAACGGCACGGTCCCTTCCCCGAATTCCTGGCAACGATGGAAAGAAAAACAAAAGGCACAGAGAGTGAAGAAGAAATTCGAGAAGCTTCCGCGTGTTTGATAAGGGCGGCGATGGCTACATAAGTGCAGCAGGGCCTCGCCTGTGCTGACGGACCTTGGAGAGAGGTTGGCAGACGAAGGGGTGGGTGCAATGACCAGGGAAGCAGCTCCTGATGGCGACGGTCACGCAAACCATGAGGAGCTGCTACAGATGATGACCGCAACGTGAGGGTATTGTACAGGATGTGTTAAGTTTCTTGTACAAGATTGTTTATTTGTCTTTTCTTTGTTTGTAACTTATCCGTAAAATGTTCCCCCTACTCTCAAAAAAAAAATATGCATGTATAGTAATTAGACTTTACTCCTCCATGTTTTCTTCCCTTATCTGACTGTCATTGCTTGCAAACCTCATTTTAGAAAACTGATCAAGGAACATGTTGCATGTGGCTTACTTTGGATAGATCTAAGCCCTTCTGCACATCTAAATTTTTATGGAGTTGGTCCAATGAGGGAACATTTGGGTTACACCTTTTTTAAAGTAGTTCTCTTTAGGAACTGTCAGCATGTTACTGTTGAAGTGTGGAGTTGTAACTCTGCATGGACTATGGACAGTCAACAATATGTGCTTAAAACTTGCACTATTGCAAAACAGATGTATTATCCAGGTACTCCTACACTATTTTTTTGTACTGCTGGTCCTGTACTAGAAACATTTTCTTTTATTGTTACTTGCTTTTTAAACTTTGTTTAGCCACTTAAAGAAAATCTGCTTATGGCACAATTTGCCTCAAACCCATTACAAGTTGTATATTTGTTTTCCAATATAAAAAAAAAAAAAAAAGTTATCCCCCTAAAAAAGAGAGATACTTGAGATACTTGAGAGCTATTTAGAAGGTCAAGCCAATAGCTTTTGGTGCTAGCTTAATAAAGTGGTTGAGAAAGAGGGAGTTGCCAAGGACCAATTGCATGAGTCTGACTTGACAAACTAGTTTATAGGAGAAAAACTTGGAGAAAACCAAGTTGATACAAGAGTGAATGAAAGGGAAATCTTTTTAAGTTGTTTTTTTTTTTTTTTTTTAACCAGCGTAGTTTTGAGAGGACCAGGAAGAAATAGAAATTAAGATATTAAGTATATGATCTGAAATTTAAGGAGACATCTACATTAGAGGTAAACGTTTGAGAATTATTGGTGTACAAGTAGATATTGAAGCAGTGGGTATAAGTGAGTTCACCTAGTAAAATAGTACAGAGAAAGGATACAAAGGTTGTAAGCCAATGAATTGGGAAATTCCACCATTTATTGGTTGGAGAGATAAAAATGAGCCAGTAAAGGAGGCAGAGAAATAGGGACCGGAGAGTTAGATGAAGACAGAATATTGTGTACCGCATCCAAAGGGAGAAAAGTGTTCAGGAAAGAGTAAGTAGTCATTAGTGCTGAATGTCACTATTAGCTCAAGATAAGTGAAGATTTAAAAAAATGGCTATTGCCCGGCCGGGCATGGCTCAGCGGTTGAGCATCGACCTAGGATCCAGGCCATCGGGGTTCAATTCTCCTGTCAGGGCACATGCCGGGGTTGCGGGCTCGATCAATGACTCTCTCATCATTGATGTTTCTATCTCTGTCTCTCCCTCTCCTTTCCTCACTCTGAAATCAATAAATATATATATATTTTTAAAATGGCTATTGTGTTTATGTACATGGAGGTTATTTGTGAACGATGGGACAAGAAGACAGACTGGATTGGGTTGAAGATTGGATGAAAAATAAAGAAATAATTATGCTAACTACTGTTCTAAAACACTTTGCAAGTATTAATCTAATTTAATGCTCATAATAATCCTATGAGATACTCTCATTTTCTATTTTATCAATGATGAAAGTGAAACAAAGAGAAGTTATGACAAAAAAGATGTTCAGTGTCACACAGTTAGGAAGTGGAGGTGGAAGCAGAGCACATGCGGTGTGACTTCAAAGTCCCTACGTTAAGCACTACTTGATAAAGCCTCTCAAGACATAGAATTAAAACAACTCTTTCAAGAAATTTAGTCCTGGAGAAACATGACATTGTCTGAGAACCAATAGGAAGAACTGGTTTTTTGTGAGCTTACTTCTGCCTAGAATTGGTTACAATCTGAAACTTTCAATAGAAATGAAAAAGGTCTATTAATCTCATCTATTTATCAAGGATAAAATCTTGCCTACAATGAACTTTTTAATTTCATTGTTCCTAAATAAATTTAAATCAATCTTGAGATATATTCTAAGCAGATGCATTTGTGAAAGAAAAAGAACATAGGAAAATGAAAATGTAAGAGAAAAGTGGAGAATTATTAAAATAAAATTCCCAATACTTCTTCTGTAGTAAATTTATATTTACTTATGATATCATAAATACCTGAATCATTGTGAATTCTTCTTCCAGGCCTTTAACAACATTTTTTTCCAACTTTTCCCAGAAGTTAAATCCATGTGGCTCTAAACCTGGTGTTCTTTCCAGCCATGCCTTAAGTAAACATTATTTTTAAGTGACTATATTGTAAAATTTTAAATATGTGAGATACATCATAACTAAAGTTTATGAACTTGAAACAGAAAATTTTTACAGTTTTGAGAAATATATATAATATTTTTTTTGTGTGTAAATATTTTCTTTTTCTTTAATTTCTTCATTAAAAAAAAAAAAAAGAAATCTTGCCTGGCCAGCATGGCTCAGTGGTTAAGCATAAACCTATGATCCAGGAAACTGCTGTTTGATTCCTGGTCAGGGCACATACCTGAGTTGCTGGCTCGATCCCCAGTAGGGGGCGTGAAGGAGGCAGCCAATCAATGATGTTTCTCTCATCATTGATGTTTCTGTCTCCCTCTCCCTTTCTTTCTCTGAAATCAATAAAGACATATTTTTTTAAAAAGAGAAATATATTATATTTCATCTCTTAATTTTTAAAGAAATCATATTGTTGATGTTTAATCTTTACTTATTAAGAAATATATTATTACAAAAATCCCACTTTTGTTCTATAAATGAAGTTTTAATGAAGTCTCCAGTTTATTCTCAAAATCCTTTGTCTTAGTATCTGAAGGAATCACAACATGTATAATACATGATCTCTTCTAAATGCAGGAGCATGATGTAATTAGCAGCTTTAAAATCCGTTAACTACTCAATTATTTTAATACTCCACAAGACTTTTTAATCAGAAATAAACCTAATTCATGCATGTCTATGGATTCTCATTTAACCTATTTTTGGTTTGAAATTAGCTTTCTGATTCTTTCTATCCCTATCTCTATAAGCTGTTATATAGCATTACATATGTTACCCCAAATCCATATTAACTATACCCAGGGGATTAAAGTGCAGAACATAATTCACTAAAAGAAAATGTAATCTGCAAACAAAAAGCCTTGGTAAAGGGAATTAAGACAATACAATACTTATTTAATAATTTATTTAAGAAGAAACAAATTAATAATTTCTCAAGACTATTATAGACCCATGGAGAATTAAAATATAAAAGGACAAATTCTGAAGAGTACATACTATTAGCAATATAGTTTAATTAACAAAAATACACATCTTGTGGAACTTTTCAATTACAAAGGATTTTGAAGAAATAAAGTTTATTAAATAATTAACCACACTTAGTTTAAAAATCAGCTAATTAAATTTGCTTGGTAAGGATGATTAAAAGGATTGCTTTAATAAGATGAGGTTATTGAATATTAACATAAAATTGATTTTATAAAATTTCTAAAATTCTCAAGAGAGTTCTTAATATTTAAATACTTTAATTAAGTGAACTTATGAATTTAAGTATTTTTTAATAAATTCTTTTGTTTTTACTTACAATTAATGTGACCAAACTTTGATATGAGTTTCACAATTCTTATCTAGCAGAAGCTAAACTAAAAAGCTATGTTGAGTTTGACCTTAGAAATAGTATTTGAGCACGTACCTCCACTAGTTGCAAAAGTGTTTTTGCCTGCTCGGAATTCAGTAGCATTTCATTTTCTTCTCCTTTGAAGTTATCGCGATAATGTCTTCTGTTATAAGGGACTCTTAAACTCTGAAGAACACCCATCTTGTTTTCTAATAGTCGGAACTGCAGACTCTGGAAGCCTGATGCTGCAGATAAGTGCTCTCTTTGAGAATAATTGGGGGAAGGGAAGAAAAAGAAAGAAATGTGTTGACATTGTAAATCACAGTTTTACTCTCTTAGATATCATCGAGAACACAAACACAACTGCCCAGAGTTGGACCTATGACTCGGACATTACTGAAATAAGGAAAATGAGTTTCTTAAACATCATTGTTAATATCTGCCAATCAATTTAAAATTGAAATGTTTGTATAGTTTGTAAAATGTGTATATATATATATATATATGTTACATACACAAATATGTATATACATATATATGTATGTGTGTGTATTAAAGTTCTTCTTAAAGACTGATGGACCTTGAGCAATGTATTTTCAATAGTGCTAAAATTATCTTTATAATTTATAAATATTATTCAGTCTCTCCTAAACTTATATTCTTTGTGTGTGTGTGTGTGTCTGAGGGTTTTTTTTTGTTAATCCCTTCACCTTTTTCACCCAGCCTCCCTACTTCCTACCCTCTGACAGGTGTCAGTCTGTTCCCTGTATCAATGAGTATATTTCTGCTTTGTTAGCTTACTTTGTTCATTAGATTCCACATTTGAGTGAAATCATATGGTTCTTATCTTTACCTGACTGGCTTACTTCACTTAGCTTAATGTTCTCCAGGCCCATCCATGCTGTTACAAAGGGTAAGAGTTCCTTATTTTTTATAGCCAAGCAGTATTGCAGCATCTAAAACTTACATTCTTGAATATTATCATTGATGTCACTACCTAGTATTATTATGAGCACCAATGAGATACTACAAGTAAAATAAAGAGGATGTTGCCTAGGACAAAATAGGCAATCAAAATGTTATTATTCTTACCCTACACAACTACCCAAACTCTTACACCTTTGTAAGTGTCCTTCATCTAATTGGTACTAGTTCAATTTTTTAATTCCTCCATGAAGGAATTTTGCTACATTTCCTTTAAATATCAAACATATTGGACTATATATTACATTATCAAACGCACCTAGGAAAATCTATCTTCAAATTTGGTATGGAAAAAGTTTTTTCTGATATATATGTATAGATAGATATAGCTATAGATATATAGATATAGATGATATATACATACAGATATAGATGACATAGATAGAGATGATAGAGATAAAGACAGAGATAGAGATAGAGATAGAGATAGAGATAGAGATAGAGAT